CTCGGAACTTCAGTTCAGATTTTGCTCCTAAATTCTGAAGTTCTTATTTAAGTTTTGTTCTAAGTTCTATCCATAGTTATGGAGGACTTTTCTAGAAGGCAAGGAAAGAGAAGTGGATCTGCCATGGTTTAATCTGGTATTGTAAGCCCTGACAATTGAGCTTCTGAATTCAAATAACAATTCCAACTCACTGAATAGCTTATGCTCACTTTGAATTTTTAGTGACTACATAACTTTCATAACCACCAAACTTGGAAACAGAGTGTATAACAGAACCAGGCCTGTGTGTGAGGATAAAAAACATAATGTCCCAGAGACTCCTCCAGACATTCACTGTGCTGCTGTACTTCTGATTTGGATCAATTTTTTTATTATCTTCACCTTTTCATTTAAGTAATCTATAGTCTTTCCCTGTCATGCCAAATTATAGATTGGACACATGATAAAGACTGTGCTGAAAAAGTGTGCAAGTTGGATTGAAAAAGTAATTCTACTAATGGTGCTTGTAGATCCAGGGTACTGATTACAGAATAAACCAAAGCCTGATAGATATCCATGGTTATGACATTCTTCACTGCATGACAGGAAGTTTCCTAATTTTGTGTCAACCACTCAGAGTAACACTGGGTATACAGGCAAAGTTAGTAGCAATGTGATATTTCTTACCTGCAGTAGTTATGCTCTCCAAGCCCTCCCTCCCCATTGGGATATTTCACAGTATTATAAGGATGCTCAAAGGTCTCATTCCAAAAAAGACAAGGTTTCCCTGCATATTGGGAAGTCTGGTTCTGAGTGCCACGATAGTCAGCCCCATTTGCTGTATAACATTCTGGGAAGAAAGAGAAATGGAAAAAGAGAAAGAATGTATACAGGTTTAGTGTTTGGTTGTTCTTCCCTCACTCTCCACCCCATCTCCAACAGACCATGTTTGCTTTTACTAATATGTTTCCTGCATTGTTTAGGCAACTAAACATGCTGGCTGGGCTTTTAACTTTCAGAGTCAAGCCTCTATTGGAGAGATTATGATGTCATTACTTTAATAAACAATGTATAAGACCAGTGGTTTACACAATGAACATGCATTTTCTCAATAAGCAGACTACATTTTTTACTGTTTTCCCTCTGTTTTACTCATTAGAATGACTCTGTAACTTGTTAATTTTCCAAAAATGAAATTATATGACATTATCAATCTGCCACTTATTAGCTTATTACCCAAAATCTCTTCAGCTGAAGTTTTAAATATCTGTACTTTATAAAGTGAAAGACTTTGTAGGCATGGACCTTACAAACATTTATATTCTGATTTAGAAAAATTCTTGGGCATTATTTTCCTCTGGCCTGAATTGCCTTAGAAAGGCACCTCCTTTAGTAGAGTATAATCACAATACTGTGATTTGCCACTAGAGCATTTATGCTTCCAGATTAAAAATTATGGGTCAGTATTCTTCTGCCTTGCTCATATTTTCTCCCATTTATGTTTGTTTTCCTGGCTTCCTAGTACTCAGCAAGTTGGAAATCAGAGAATGATTTCTTTAGCCACTAAATACACGACCCATTTCTCAGCTGAACTACACATCTCATGCTGCCTGGCTTTGCTGTGTCTTGCTAATCACAGAATCACAGAATAGTTTGGGTTGAAAGCGACCTTAAAGGTCATCTAGTTCCAACCCACCCTGCCATGGACACCTTCCACTAGACATCTTCTGATCAAATAAATATTCATGAACAATTTCACTTTTTGCCAAAATTGCAAAACATTTTTGATTACATTATGCACTGTGAGGGTGATGAGCATGGGAACAAGTTGCCCAGAGAGGCTGTAGAATCTCCATCCTTGGAAATACTCAAAACCCACCTGTACATGGTCCTGGGCAACCTGCTTTAGGTGACTGTACTTGAGCAGAGCAGCTGGATGAGATGAGCTCCAGAGGTCACTTCCAACCTCAACTGTTCTGTGATTCTGCGATCATCTTCCAGAAATAATTGTTATAATTAATGTACCATAAGTAAGTCCATCCTGTCTATAACTAATACTTGCTAACATTTGTCATCCTTGCATTTATTTCAGAATAGGATTAAAATATAACAGTCCATGACAGAATTAAAACTGCTGTGTTACACTGCTGTAAACATTTCTTTGTACAGAATAGCTTTAGTGGGGAAAGTCACAAATGCTTCCTACCAACTGCAGGCTGTGAAACCTCCTGTTTGATCTGATAGTATTCTCTGTAGAAACCATATTACAGCTGCAGAGACGTTCTACTGCCCTGAGGGAACGGGAGAATGCTCTGAAGTGAAGTATGTGCTGATCTCAGATGTCCCTCATGAGACAGAACTTAAAAAACAAGGTTAGAAAGACCTGTGTGGCTGCAGTTGGAAGAGGGAAAAAACCAACCCACAGCTTAATACTGATATTAACAGTTCACCTTTTTTATTTAGAAATACTGTGGGAGATGGAAAAATGTATTATTAAAACCATGCCTTTGAAATTAGTTTAGTCTGGGCCCACAGATATCAGAATGGTGCAATTATAATAATTATTTCACAGTTTTATTACACAGCAGATGAAAGACGATGCTTTTGTGCCTTCACTGTGCATTTTCATGCCTAGGCAAGTTAGGATTTCAATTAAATGAAATTTTGTTGCTGAAGGCACACAGAAGAGGTGTCTGCACAGCCATTAATGCATCTGCTATCATCTTTGGACAGAAAGCTATATAATTTAACAAAAACAAGCTTCAGGTCAATACTCCTCCTTACTGTAATTTACCTGACTGCCTTAGCCATGCAGGTGGGCTGCATACATTTACTTGAAAATGCAAATCTGAGTTTCCAGTATTCAGGCCACCACAGGTATTTGTGTAAACATATGAAAAAACCCACTGTAAAGTCACCAGTGTTACAACTTTCTTCAATACCTCTCTTGCTTTGCAGTTAATATAAAAGCTTTTGTATGTTGTAGCTGAAAAATATAAGCTGATGAATTTAGCAGAAAAGAGAGGAAAACGTAATCAAACTAGATCAACAAAATAACATACAGTATAAAGAAGCAGTTGAGAGAAGTGATAAACACATCCAGAAAAGATGTCTACGTCAGCTTTGTACTATTACATTTTTTTTTTGCTTCTCACTTCTAAATGAGAAGCAATATATACTAACATCTACTCAGAAATGCAAGGAATGTTACAATACCTGAATGAATCTGGCACACAAACTAAACTGAAGTTAACATCAGTCCATTTTAGGATCTGCTAGGACTGGCCCATGCTTTAACTTGCAGTAGTGACTGACTTACATTTTCATGTCAGCTTTTTTTAACTGATTTTCTTCAAACTTCATTGCACCAGGAACAAAAGGAAGAGTCAGATCTCTCTTCGTTCCTCTTAGCAGTAGCTTTTTGTTCCCAGGACAACAGGTAGCTGTATCAATGCCTCCTGTGTTCTTTTCAATATCAAGAGATTTGGGAAAAATGTGCCAGCTGAGCTGTAGTAAAGCTCCCCTGGCTCAGTTACCATCTAGATGTGGAATGGGGAGGCAGTGACATACCATGCAAAATCATTGATTATCCCCAAAACACTGAAATGAAAACTTTCAGTTATGGAATTTAGTAGCTGTTACCAAATGAAGTACATCAACTTTTGTGTAACAGGGAATTTGCTAGGAAATGTTCATTTTGTTAAGGATTAATAATAATTTTGCCAGAGCACTGGAGTTTAATCTTTTTAAATAAATATTGGCATTTAAAAAATCAGGTCAGTTGTCCTTTCTATGCTCCCTCCTGGCTTTTTGTGCACCTGCTCACTGGCTGAGCATGGGAAACTAAAAAGTCCCTGATTCAGAGTAAGCACTGCTTGGCAACAACTAAAACATTGTTATCGACATTTTCATATTCAATACAAAACACAGGACTGTACCAGCTACTAAGAAGAAAATTAACTCTATACCAGCTGAAACCAGGACACAATCCTACCTTCTTTTACCTTGAACAGGCAGCTTTGAGATCTGCTGAGATACATTTTGTACAGTTTCCTATAAAATTCCTAGTAGCATAGTTACAGATCTCAGCATATTCAATATCTTGGCAGTAAACAGCTGAATTCTTCTATTTGTCACATGCAGTGATTTCATCTTATTTTGCTGCATGACAGCCAAGACACTACCTTAGCAATCTCACCATGACATTAATATTCCCAGTGTGTTGAAGGTGCAAAGTAAATGTTTCATCTTCAGACAGACCACTGTCCTCTCTATTTCAAATCCATGGGCACCACTTTAAAAAGTTTTCCTAAGAAATTTCCTAAGAAATTCTGGAGAACAGGAGGTTAGAACCTCCACCCTGCTTTTCATCTTGCACCACTGGTGCAATAGTTCTGTGAAAAGATGAGCTTAAAAAAGGTCAGCCAGATTCGTCTGCACAAAACTAAGTCAGAAGAGGTCATCTGAATTAAACACTCAGAAAAGACTGGACTGAGCACTATTGGTAAAACTCTTGGGCTTCCTCAAATTACCTGGTTTCTCTTTGGTAGATTATGTAGAAGGGAGGGGGAAAAGAGTAAACCAACCAGCAACAACCACCTCTCTACTGTTGTGGCACCCACTGGATCCAGCTGCCTTATGTTGACTGATACGTCCACGATACTTTAGGCTATGAAGCCCTTTGCTTGGAACCCAACGTCAGAACTGTGACTCAAGTTCCATAAATTTTGGCAAGCCTTATTCCTTAAAGTTTTCCAAGACTATGATAAACTATGACAGAACTTGCACTATATCCAAGTCCTCTCCCAGTGGAAGAAGAGGCACTTGGTGGACACTAAAGCTCACAGCTTCCTAGAAGGCATCAGTGCCACTGTTCTTGATAGATTTGCCACATGGTTTCTGTCCATACACCCAAGGTTCAAACTATCCTGTCAGCCATAAACCTATATTAAAACCCAGTGTTTCAGACAAGACACAGAGAAAGCTGTGACCACTCAAATCTTGAAGTGCCTGAACTCCTCATATTTCTAAGATCTTACTCAGCTGGGTTTCAGACATAGTCTGAAATAGAGGCTTATGTCAAATCTGTGATTAGAATCAGTGTCTGTGATGATTTCACTCTATTAACTGCCTAATGACCCTGCTGTTTCTACTGTTTCATGGGAATGTCTGTAAACAGAATTAATCAGAGATTAATCAGAGAACCTTTGCAGTGGTTCTAGTCATGAAAAACTGGAAGGTTCAAACAGGTGCTGTTCAGGATAATGAGCCTTGGTAAGAAAACACGGACAGAAGTTTCTTGTCAGGGCTGTTTTGTTTTCAACATATCAGGTGCCACGGTTGACAGAAAAGTAATTTTTTTAAACGAATGCTGAGACTAGGTAAGTATGTATTAAGTAGCAACTGCTAGAAAGAAAAAGCAGAAATCAAGACTAGGGATATTGTCCACTATGAGTGAATGCTCAGTGTGGGATACAGGTTCACAATTAGTTTTATTAGAGCCAGATCAACATTTGGAAGATCAAACAGCAGCTGTCGTAGAAATTTTTTCCATCTGTGTTGGTTTCTTCTTCAATGTAAGGACCTTACAATGATCATTTGCCTTTGTTACTTTGGGACTGTACGGCTGCCTGCACTCCACATGGGCGCCACTTTAGGATCATTTGAAAAATTAAGGTAGTGCAGACTTTTCTACTGAATGAGGCACTGATGATAAATCACTGACATTGCAGAGTCTGCATTGGCTTCCAGTGATTTTCTACGATGGACTTCCAAATATTGGCTTTAATCTCTGAAGCCCTTAATGGCAAGAGGCCCAGTTACCTGGGAAATTCTCATTTTGTGCCACATTATCACAGACAGAAACAATACAAACATTTTATCTGTGCAAAGCAAACAGCTATCTACTTCTCAAACACTCTGCCTTTTGTGGCTGACAAGTGGGAAATCTTACAAATCTTCTAAGCATTCTTCAAAGTCTGTATTCTCGAAGACATATATTTAGTGACATTACAAATTGCAGACTGAAGAGGGGGAGATTCCAGGATGGTTTAAATGACTTTGCAAGTTTGAGGCCTGAACGTAGCTTTTGAGACTGAACATTCAGAATGACAAACTTGTTCCTATTCCATTGGAGAGAAAAAAAAAACAACTTAACTTGCTTTGTTTGTTTGCTTTACATTCTGGAAGCTACATGGAGTGCTGACTAGTGGCCAGACAGATTGCCAATTATCAACCAGAAACCAGCCTGCCCAAGCCAGAAATTATCCTACCAGCTACTTCCCAAAAGCAAGGTTTTCTTTTAAAAATCTGCAGAGTAATGAAAGATAAGTGAAAGTGGCTGTTATTTAAATCTTGGGTTTCATTAGAGTGGTGTGATAGCCAGAACATTAAATGCTCTGTAAGGTTGGACCAAAAAGTAAAGGTTCATTGAATTTACATGCTGTAACTAACTGCCTGCTCGGTTCTCTCTCATTTTTCTTACAGCCTTTTAGAACAGTCAGAAAAATGCTTAAGCACAATATAAGGATATGAAACCAAATGTGCCAAGTCCAATAATGACTCGGTGTCAGCTGCTTGATGCATGTGGTTGCACAGTGTTGTAAGAGTAGTTTTAAGTCATTCCCATTCAACCTAAACTGTTCTTCTAGTGCTTGCTGGAGACTGCAATTTGAGCACTCCTCCTTAAATGAAAGCACTGTATCTAGGTGCAGATGGCAACAGTTACAGGCACTAACCAGATGCTGCAGTCTCTAATTTGATTGAAAGGGTATAATTAGACAGCAGAAACACTTCAATGAGAAAGTAACGCACAGAGGAAAGGACAGAAACCACTTAACTGATGCCAAGATACCCCGGCAGTAACGGAGGCAGGGGCCCACGGATGGAAGGGGCAGAACACCACACTACCTTCTTCAGATGAGAACATTTTTGTTTCCCTGGAGATGCAAATGGGGATTCTATTATCATAGGTTGCCACAGTTCTTCATGTGGGAACACTGATTAAAACCAGAAGAAGCTTCAGGAGATGAAAGACGCAAATATGGCTTCTGTGGTCATTATTAAAAATATTTTTAGCATTGCAATGGTTTTCTTTGAAGATGCAGTTTTATCGATTGAACCAAAAGTTCATTTGCATACTATCATATGATTGGTCAGGGGAAAAAATATTCCATATTATGCTGTGATGCAAAATAAATGCTTTTGGGAAGTATAAGGCAGGTTTACACCTACCCAAGTGAAAAAATAGTGTAGTATTTTTACATTTCAATACTTTTCTATTCCAATTCATACTAATATAACACAAGCCCTCATTGAAACTATCAGACTTGTGTACCTATACTGTAACATTAAAAAAACCCCAAAACACAACAGTTGGTATAAGCTAAAGAAAAAACCTCAGGAAAGAATTGTCTTTGTTTAAAATTGTTATTTTCAAAATTGCTAGAAAACAATTTGGACAACTCCCCATTTGGTAAATTAGACAGTTAAATTCTGCTGTGATTCTATGAGGGCACTTGGTTAGCTGATCATTTCTCCTTTACAATGTAGGGGCATTCCACATGTATTTTAAAAATCGTATCCTGCTCATTCTACATATTCATACACGCAGACATATAATTGTTGAAAGTCCTCAAATGCAATAATTTTTGCTGGTCAGAATGAGAGACTTATTTAGTGTTGGTCCAAGACAGAGAGTAGCCACAGTGAATATTTGAATTATGCCACCTGACATTTGACCAAACCTTGACTTAAGCATCTGTCTGTCTTGTAAGAATGTACATTCCTGGAAATGTACAGACATGTGAAGCTCCATACTTGTGTTCCCTGGCAGTGTGTGAGCTGTTATATATGTGAATTTGCTATCCTTGTGAAACATGATTGCTAATCTTCAATTTAATCACTTTTTCATCACTTTTCCTTTTTTTTTTTTTAATAAAGTTAAACACTATCTGACTGGCCAGACCCTTTCTGGAATATGTTGGAAGCAGGCAAGTTAGGATATGTGCACGAGAGGCAGTTACCATTATTTCTAAATGCTTAAAAGTATGCATTTTGTACATCTTTTCTTTCTATTTGCACAACACAAACATGCTATATTAGCTAGAGTTTTGCAGCTGCTGGCTGGTCCTCAGCCACAAGATGCAAACACACTTGCTAGTCTTGTGATTCTTTATCATTGGAAGTAAGAATGCATGATGTGGCCCCATAAGAATTTCTGTTCCTTAATACACCCGTTTGTTTTCTTTCTTTGTGAAGATTTAAAACTGTTGTTCCGTTGTCAAGTGTGGCAGATTGAATCTCCTTGGTAATTTTATCAGGACGGGCCACAGCCACTGTGTGGATGGAGAGAGTGGTCAGTTGTACAACCTTTATGGTGTGATATGACAAAGAATGAAAATTTTGCAGCTGGCAGCATGTAATCCCTGCCTCCCTCCCACTTCTTTGGCTCCATCCTGCTTAAATCCATTCACATAGCTCTGGATTTTGAGTTATGCTCTATGCATGTACAAGCATGATATGCTGAAATGTCTGACTATTTCATCTTCTATCTGCCTGGTTAGAAACAAGAAGAAACAAAAGAATTGCTTTTTCGAGTATTTCCATGATACTTGCTTACGGCATATCAACTAGAACTGCTTCTCTGAATCAGCAAGACATAGGCAGAATAAGGTGACAAGAGACCAGGTTTGTTAGAGAAGGCTGAAATAACAGCTCAAAGACTCAGGTGGGAAGAAAACCAAAGACACGGTAACCCAGTATTGCTAAATGGAAAGAAAACAGAGAAAAGAAAAAGAGATTGATAATCATACACATTTCTGATGGGAAAATTAAATGCATGCTACAAATACAGAAACTAGAAATTATAACTTATTACACTGATGATATAACATTTGTTCACCAAAACTAACAATTGCCAAAGGCATTTCCATCTCTTTGTCCTTGTAATAGAAAACTCACCAAATTCAGTCCTTTAATAATAGATTGCCTACTCTATTCACCCACCTCTCATTTCTGATTCACTCAAAAGATGTGGTATGGCTGAAGTTTGAATGAACAAATGTCAGTGTCTGAATGCAGAAATGTCAGGTGTTTGAATTAAGAGAAATTTAGACATTACACAGCAAAGCAAAAACATTCTGTGAAAAGTAGCGCAGTACTATGTGCAGAAACAATTGTTAACTGACTCTAATTTCTGACAGTTGGAGTCATTTTACATAAAGCAATTCCAAAAGTTTCTTTCCTCTTAGCAAATGATGGTGGCACAGTCAGTATTTTGACTGCACTTTACAATAAACTTATTAAGACATGCATTTTAAAAAAAAGGAATAGGTATTAAAAACATATGACAAACTGCCTTAAAAAAGCAATAGTAATTTCAGAATTCTGCTAGCTTCAAGTGCAACCTGACACAGCTGATCCCATTTCAGTTCTGTGGGATTAAGGGTCAAGAAGAAGATCGTGATGTAGTTTGCGCAGATTAAGAACTCTGCAGATTTTGTACGTGCTGTACAAATTACAGGTTGTTGTTGAAATGCAGATTTGCATTGTTTCCAGGTTCTTTAGCAGAAGACACATAGATGGCAGTGCTTTCTAGATCCATTCTCCTTTGCTACACCTTCATTCAGAGGCATTATATATTCTTCCCTCTTCCCCCTGCCCCAGCTGCTTGTGCTCAGGCATCTCTGTCCCCATTCGTGACCAAACATTCACTCTGGGATAAATCCTCCACTTGCTGTCACGCAGCCTGCTGTGAGGGACATGGTCACACATGGAGTGTTCTGTCCACAGTTCTGCACAGAAACCTTACAAGCAAACATTCTTCAACTTAAGCAATGGAAGGGAGTATGGACTGTTCGACATGGTCTAGACATGTCCCAGTCTAGGCAGCTCTCTAAAAGGTTATCTAAAAGTAGTTTCATGTTTTACTCACTTCAGGTAACTTCTGAGTTTACCAGAAGGTAAACTCAGAAGAGTTCTCTTCCTAGTAGAAGGCTTTTTATTCCCAAAAAAAGTCTATGTAAATATTTTCCAAATCTGATAAAGTGCAACTACAAAAACTTGATAAGCAAGTATGTGTTCATGGCAAGAAGAACTGGACCAAGTTCTACATAATAAGAAGGATCAGCAATCAGAATACACAAAATGTATCCAGAGCGGACACGCATCTGATGGCTGTGACACTGCGATCATCTGCCACTTCAGATCTTGCAAAGAATGGCCACTGTTTACTAGAGGAGAACCGTGGTACTTGAAGTCACTAGAACAAATGAAATGAGGACAAAAGCGCGTAGAGAAATTTTAAGTGAAAAATCACACTAACGGGTAGTGAAGTTTCAGGCCTCCCAGACTCCCTGGCTGAACGAGAACCTAAATGGTCGGAGCAGTCCATGCTTGACGGGGAGCTGGGGCAGCACACCGCAGGCAGGCGAGACGGCCACCCTCCAAGCTCTGGCTCTGCAGCCCCGATTATGCCCTGCTGCCACCGGTGTTTTCATTTCCCAGTGACACACACTGAGTCACACTCCCCTCTCCCTGCAAATGCCTCCATTCCACAGATCTACCTATCAGACCACTTTCATAGAGAGATGTGCTGCTCCTCTTTCTCTCACCTCATGCTTTCATACAGTTTCCGAGCTCCCAGCTCAGCAAGCACAGAGAGCGCCTCAAACACCCGCAAACTCCACACAAAAATACTCCCTGCGTGTTCGCACGAGCCGCCTCGAGCCCGGGACCCACCAGGCGGGCAGGAAAGGACGTCGTCGCGACCTCGAAGAGGCGCTGCCGGGCGGCAGAGCCCTTCCGCGGGAGGCTGCGCGCCAGCCGCGAGCGTGCGGAGCTCGGGGCGAGGCTGCCCCGCTCCCCCGCCGCCCAGCCCTGCGAGGCGACCGGGGGGCAGCTCCCACCGCACCCCCCTCCCGGCTCCCCGCGAAGCGTCACTCACCGGACTGCAGGGGCTCGCGGCAGCAGCTCAGCGCCAGCCCCGACAAGGCCAGGACGGCGGCGAGGGCGGGAGGCTCCATGGGCAGCGGCCGCCGGGCCGCACGGCGCCCGCAGGACGCAGCCCCAGCGCTCCGGGGGTGGCAGGCGGCCGGGAAGAGCGCAAAGTGCGGGAAGCGGAGGCCCTACAGCATGTGTCCTGTAAGTGCGCCCCGGCGAGGTGCCGAGTGGCAGATGAGGGATCCTATTACCAGCCATGTGACAGGAAAGGATAGAGACCGACATCCCAACCTGCTGCAGCGCGGGACCGCAGGACTGCCACTTCTACTCCTGACACCGACAGGTCCGGGCTGTTGGCGTTCGCCCCGGGGCAGCGGAGGGGCTCCGAGAGGTCCTCCCCGCAGGCCGGGCTGCCCCGCCGTTAGCGAGGCAGGGGCCCGGCAACCCCCCGCCACACTCGCACAGTCCTCCAGCCCAGCAACGACCCACGCCTCGCTCTCGTCACTCCCCTCTGCCCTCTCGCACCCCGTGTCCCGCTACGGCCGCCCAGGAGCCCGGGCAGCCGCGGCCTAGCGCCCTCAGCCGCCGCCCCGGCCCCGCGCACGCCCTCCGGCCGGCGGGGGTCCCTCAGGGGCTGCCGGAGCAGAGCTCTCCGCTGCAGCCCCGCTCGCATCTCCGGGAGCCGCGGGGCACGGACGGACACGACACAGGAAGAGGACGCTGCAAACTTCGTGCTATTCCCCTGCGGCTCCCGCCCGCTCTCAGCAGCCTTTCTCAGGGACGGGACACGGGCGGCTCCGCTCAGGTGTCCGCGCCCGCTGCTGTTCAGGGCGTCGCTGTAAACCTGAACAGGCACCTCCGGCCCGACAGAAGTGACCGGGCGGCGGGGCCGTGCCCGCAGCGCGCTGGGCGGACGCGGCCCGGCTGCAAACCCCTTCGGCTCCGGGGGGGCAGAGCTGCCCGAGCGGGCACGGGGAGAGGCCGCTCACGGACTGGCACACGGGCACAGGGACGCGAGACACCTGCGGGCCGACACGGACACACGGGGGCACAAGGACACGCGCACATCCAAACCTTCGGACACGCGAACCCCAAGGAGACACCCACGCCTACAGTGGAACATCCAGAGCGACAAACAAACACAGAAGCTAAGAGACCCCTGAACCGAAAGAAGAGGAGCAGCGTTGCTTTGTGACAACGGTGAAGGCACATGCAGAAAGATAGGGTTTGGGTTAGCAGAGTTTAGTCTCATCTACGTGCAGACAACAAAGGACAAAATGTCAAGCTATTGTCTGAAATTATCCAAAGTCTTATTACCTGACCTGTGAGACATTTTAGTAATGGCAGTACAGCTTTGATAAAAAGCAACCAACAGAAAAAACCCCACACTAACGGCAAAGTTGCTTTGTCAGGAAGGAGGGCAAACGTTGTTATCCTTGTAGCACCTGTACATCAAGTGGCACCTTCAATTATCCATAAAGGGAGAGAGCAATTTTCTACTCTGAGAGGGGAAGCAACAAAATACAGTTTGTAGGCCTTAACTGTTGTATCAATACATAGTATGGATATATTTCACTTTTAGCATGCAGAAACCTCCCATCCCATAAAGCTGTAAGGTTGATTTTGAGAAGAAAAACATGCTTACATTTCTTTTGGCCTTTGTGACATATAAAAAGCAGAAGAAGGATTCCATATGATAGCATGGCTTTACACAAAAATTTAAATACAAATATTAGTTAAATTTTTAATATTTAATAATTTCCTATTGAATGTAATTTTTTTAAGTTGATGAAATATTGAAAAACAATAGCAGTGTTCTGTTAGCTTGGTGCTAGGTTTTTTTTTTCCTATTTAATGATAAATGCAGAAATATTTAGTTCCTCCTCACACATACAGTCTTCTCTCCAAGGACTGGGATCCTATTGTGCTCCCATTCACTCAATTTCAATTCCATTTTATTTGGCATTCTGTTCCTTAAGGACACTGGAACAGAGAAGGCTTACAAATTTATAACAGTGTATTGCTAACAAAGCTCACAAAATCAACCATATCTCCAAAAGGCCATTTCAGTCTTCCAGCATTCCTAAGCAAAACCACTTTCATTCATTATGCTGCCCTCTTTCTCCACCAATCAGTTGCACACACAATTGATGTGTGTATACATCAGTTGCACTGTTTTTTGTAACTGTAGCACACTGGCCATGGACAACTAGTTCATTGCCAGTGATAATCCCCCAGATTTCTTTCAAAGTTCTTTTTTTTTTTACAATATTTTTTCTTTCTATTTGTATTTCCACTTACTGTATTCAAGGTCACTCATTCTCATTTTGTAATTTTCTTTTTGTGGTTTATGGCCCCTGTATACAAACTACAACAATGGCAGCAGTAATGGCAGCTCATAAGTAATGAATAAATAATTTTATATTTCGTAATTCATAGTCTGAAGCATTTCTTTCAATTTGTCTTGTACCTATTATAATGTAAAATCTATACTATTAATTCATTTAGTTTTCCTGTACATTTGGTACAGGATAGTTTTGGTACAGGTATAGTTTGTCCTTGCTTTTTGAAACCACCATGATTTTCCAGTAGTCAATGAGTTAAAGACCTTAAAAAAACAGACAAAACGACCTGCAAAAGTAAGCAATTCTTACACTAAAAAGAGCTGAACAATATAGAAATGACTTCAGAAACCCTTTGGGATGTAGATAAAAGCAAAGGGTTTCTTTACTGAAAGAATTCTGTGCAAGGCAGTAATTCAGAAATCACTTTTTAATGAAGGTAATGAAACACAGTAAAATACATCTAGATACAAACAGTTTGCATGTTGCGGTTGTTCAAGGAAAGCACTGCAAGTTTTGCAAAACATTTCCAGTGCAACTAACAGACTTTTTGTTTTGAAGATGGACTCTAATTTGAGAGTTGAATAAAGATGGATTTTTAAAAAGTCATTCTACATTAATGTGGAAGGAAACGTATAATTTTCTGAGTACTTCCCTTCTCTCCCTTCCAATTGTATCCTTTTAAAATTAGGTGAGAACTGAAACAAAAAGGTCACTTTGAGTCTCTGTTCAGAGACTTGCCAAAATATAAGAATGTTATGTTTAAATACTGTCAGTATGTCTCCCTCTCTGCTAAAAAGAACCCCAAAAATCTGTAAATTCAACCTGACTTGCCAGTAGTCCATCTGGCTGTGCATCCACTTTCACATCTCTCTAAGCCTTACATGGCCCCAGAGAAGGCAAATGTTTCCCTGATAAATGCTAAGATAGCAGGCTCTTATTCTTTCCATTTTACCAGCTCTCAAGTATAAGATGAAAAGTGCAGAGAAATCATGAACTCTTTCAGTTTTGTCAGAACTCTGGTTCTAGCAAAGATGTGACTGTTAGAAGAAACTAGCGCCCGTAACTTTGAGACTGATGCTTTCAGAAACATTGTCTTTTGCTCAGCCTGCCATGATGTAACGTCAAGAATTTGATTAGCATTTCCCATACAATTCAATACTCGTTATATTGATAGCAGAAATCAAATCATATCATACTAAATACCATTGTTTGTGTTTGGAAAGTCGATATTTGTTGCTGTGGATGATTTAAGCCTTTGCTTTTTCTGTATTTCATTACAAACTCCGCTGGAATTTCATTGTCTCTTATTCTACTGGAACTTCTGAAACAAGTTTCTGGTTTCCTTTGTGTCTTGGAAGAAAAAACAAAGTTAAAAAAACCCAAACAAACCAAAGGCTTAAGATGAGTAAAAGTAGTTACCATAGAACAAGGTTACCTTAGAACAAAGTGAGAAGAATATTAGGGTTTCTTGAATAGTAATATTGCAACAATTTTAAAAGTACCAGTTCTGTGTAATTCCAGTGCATACTACCCCAAAGAACAGTATCCCTCCCCTGTCCTACAGTACTGAAGATTCAAAATATTTAAATTACCATAGAATCATAGATTGGATTGGAAGGGACCTTAAAGATCATGTAGTTCCAACCTCCTGCCACAGGCAGGGACACCTTCCACTAGAACAGGTTGCTCCAAGTCCCATCCAACCTGGCCTTGAACATTTCCAGGGATGGGGCAGCCACAGCTTTTCTGGGAAACCTGTGCCAGGGCCTCACCACCCTCACAGGGAAGGATTTCTTCCTAATATCCAATCTAAATCTACCCTCTTTCAGTTTGAAGACATTATCCTGGCAAGGACAGTGAAGTGTTTTTCAAAAAAGATAGTAGCAGAAAAATACCATGTTTGATTTCTTTGTTGATGAGAAAAATTAAAGAAGAGGTCATAACAGTTGCTATTTCTTTAGGAGGTTCATTTGTGTTTTCAGTTTAATTGAGGCTTACCTCTCCTTTCTACATAAACAAGTCAGACGTGCCAGGACTGCAACACCGACTATTCCAAATACACAGCCAAGAAGAATTAGTTGTTCAATAGCTGAAAAACAGACCAAACACAGAAAAAACAGGAAGACTTTGATACATTTATTCATATATGTTTGAATGCAGTCACAAGATGATTTTTTAAATTGTACATACAGCATTAATTTTTCTCTTCTTTTTATTTGTGGAACAAACTGCCTGCCTTGGCATGGGGGTTGGACTAGATGGTCTCCAGAGGTCCCTTCCAACCCTAACTATTCTGTGATTCTCTGAAACTGGTACGGATCAGGAACTCACAGAATTTCTGCATTTGATTGTTGGGACAGGTGGTTGTAAAAGCTGTTGTAACTCAAAGAAAGGGTGGCTAGTGGTTAAGATGTAGTCATCATCATGAATATACAATACTTATGCAGAACTGCCAATCCCCAAAACTGGATTTTTTTCAATCCTTTGTCCATATATTGCTAATTTTATGATTTTTAGCTGGATGTTACTTGTGCTTTTACTGGAATCTCGCTTGGATGGATTCTTTGTTCTTCCTCTGTGATATTGTGTGAAGAGAGGTTGCTGTGGTACTGGCAAGACTTGCAGTGGGATTGTAATTAGAAGCATAGCAAAATAATTATTAGCAGAGGATTTCCATGGAAATTTTAATTCAAGGAAGCAAAACTCAAAAGCAGCAATATGCAGGCCCAAAAGCATAATTTGTATTTGAAGTTTCAAATACTGAAATGGACTTTGCAAAATAACTGGCATTAAATTTTCTTGTTTCTGTCTCTCTTCCTATCCAGTTTTCATAATATCAAATAGTAAGGAAGGTCTTTGTTGCAATCAGATCAATAAAATTCTTTCATATCTTGTTGTTCTTTGTCACCTTTCAGGAAACCATTGGACAGCATTGTGGGGTTTGTTTGCTTATCCATAAAGGTGCATCACGTCTCAATCATTCTGAGTGCAATTAATCACTGCATGTTTTCCAGCTCCTTCCCTCTGATCATTCAGGGCTGGCTTTCTGCCCCCTTTTTCTAATGTAAATGTCAGCATCCGTTTTGCTTATTGAGACTGATTGGCTCTTAGCCAGCATGTATGTGGTTGATGGCAGCAGTGGAAAAATGTTCTTAGCTTTCAGCTTGGCAGAGTGTTTTGCCACTGAGTTTTTAAGATTTGGCCTTTGCACGTTTGTCTGCTGCCCAAACTCACTGCGGTTCATCTTACAAATATCACTAAACGTGCAGAACTGCATTCAAAACGTACAAGCAGTTGGTACAGGCCAGCAGAGGCTGATGAAATGTGTCAGCATGACAGGAGTTCATTGCTGAAGTGAGGTGCACTTTCCACATTTCTTTGGAAGGTGCTCAGAGTGGAGAATCTGTTGGTATGAACTATTTGATGGAGAATCTCTTGGTATGAACTATTGGATGAGTGCTTTTGGGAACTATTAACTCAGCATTAAAAGTGCTTCAAACATGCCATCTGGACTTGCATCACCCTGGTGCTTTGAAATATTGCCATCTTGAGGATGTTTGGAGTGTATGCGGTGAATGATTAAAAGGAAAATTTTGGGTTGTTTTCTGTAAATCAGAGACAGCCTAACTGCTACTAAATCCAACAGTCCAGGCTAATTGTTAATCTAATGGGACTAACACAGAAGGGTAATAAATTTTTGTTAGTTATCCTAAATACTATTACATCATTCATTACATTACATCATTACAATAGTTTTACTGCCATAGAATGATGCATTATGTTTTGAGATAACATAACCCTTTAGAAAAAAAGGGTGAAAGCGTTCAAGAAGTGCGGGCTGTGTCTGCTCTCGACTCACAGAATCATGGAACAGTTGAGGTGGGAAGGGACCTCTGGAGGTCATCATGTCCCACTCCCCCGTTCAAACAGGACCACCCAGGGTCAGCTGCCCAGGACCACCCAGGGTCAGTTGCCCCCAGGTCCTTCTCTGTACAGTTTCTCTTCAAGTGCTCATTTTATAATGTGTAGCTTCATAACTCACCCCTCAGGTGGCTCAGACTGGATATATGTTTGCCCAAGTTAGTTGCAAAGAAAGTTAAAACTGTATTAGTGATGACAGAATGAAAGATGACACTAAGTGGTTGGAGGTTGTGCCATCATTTATACTTGAAAAGTAGCTCAAATTATGTGGATACTAAAGGTTTCCAATACTCCATAGTTTCTATTTTTTAGCTAAGTACTATGCTTTCCTGTTTTCCTAAGAGTGATTTTGAAATTTATGTTAGGTCATCCACTCAAGAAGCATGCCTACCAGTTCCTAGCCAACCCTACAGAAAGGGAAGCTTGTAGCCCTAAACCCTTAGAAAGAGTAGATATATTCAATAATTTTTAAAAATATTAAAAAATTTTAAAGCCCCGACAAAACCCATAAACCCACCATAAATCACCTGTTATTTAGATTTGAATATTACTCTCTCTGGAAATCCAGAGATCTTATGTCCAATGTTTTCCCAGGTAAAAGAAGTTTTTGTTGTCAAGAGCCATAATGGTGTACTGAGATTGCCTTATGTGTGATAATGATTTTATGACAACATGTAACATTTAAAAGGCAACAGACCTATTTTCTGGATGCAACTGGGTGTGTCTCCAGACCAGGCCCCCGACGCTTGGCAAGTTCTTTCCTTTGACCCGGTGAGTTCATAGCCCTGACTGCAGATGAAAGTGATGGTTGAGCCCAGCAGGTAGTTAGTTCCATTCTTTGTTCCATTGATTGGATGGTCCAGCCAGCCACAAGAGATCACTAGTAAAAGAGACATATCTGGTGGAAGTATTTTTGATTTGGACTAGCAAATGTCCATTACAATGATTCAAATGGCATTTTAGTGGCAACTCATGGAAAGACAAAGACTTTTAGGCAATCTGAATGAAAATACTTCTGATACTTTTAAAATTATTATTATTTTTAAGTCCAAAGATGACAGGTGAATACACAGAAAATTAAGATAAAGTTTCCACACTCTGGTGTAGGAAGAAATGGAAAGAAATGTATTTTGTTTGCCTAAGTACTCCTCCAGTGCAGAGTTTCCCTGGTACAAAGATGATTCCTCCCGATAAGAGTATTTACAGGTGCATGAACCTACAGTTAAGCGAAGCCTCCTCAAACATTGTTAACTATTTAGATGCCCTGTAGAAATAACTGTAGTGATGCCCTGTATGGGCCATTCACTTAAGAGTTGGACTCCATGATCCTTGTGAGTCCCTTCCAACTCAGATTCTGTGATTCTCTAATGATGCTTTGAGGAACGTTGTATCACCTGGCTCCAGATGTTCTACCCGCAGCTTGTGATTCTGATGAGACAGTCTTGTGGAATTTCCCAGTTGAAGGTTTCTTGTTGTCAGGACATCGAATCTGCAGAACGGGTCAGAGCCACAGAGTGAGACCATCTCTTCTACCAGGGGATCAGCAGGGTCTTCATAAGGGAAGAACACAGGCAGGAAGGAAGCATTGTGCTTCTCCCCATAAAAGAAATTGTTCAGTAAGAACTCTGTGTCATAAGTAAAGAGAGAAGTTCCATTCTCAATAGCCCCTTGGGAGACAGAGAAAGAAAGAGAGAGAGAATCATATGTAACATTGCCTGCACATACCACCTTCTGCTACTAATCCAAGTGCTTATTTATGTAAATGTAGCCAGAGCTGGAAGAGATCTAGGAAGGCCTACAACATCCTTCCAGCTCAAGATTATTCTCCTTTTCATATGCAACATCTTAACTTAGCACCAAAGTTAGTGTTTGTTTAACATGGTGTTTGATAATTTTCTTAAAATTAGATCCAAATAATTGTGTAGCTGTGATTTTACATAAAGATGGTTTTATATGCCTCCTAGCAAAATAGTGATAACAGACAGAGCAACACATTACAAAAGCAAAAACTGCAAGCAACACAAATCCTGAAACTATGTGTCCCTAAATTCATCATGTCTGTTATGGCCCTGCTCTTTGTGTTCATTCTGCTAAATCAGAAACTTCCTGAGGTTGAAGCAGTGAGACTTTTCAGTATGCTTTGAATCCTGGGTTGCACTGTTCTCAACACAGAGATCAACTGGTAGCCAGAGGGTATTTTTGCATCATATTTTTGGCCAATCTCCTAACCTGATGCCAGGAGGAATGCTGATCAATCTAATCCTGTGGCTAGATGTAGCAGCCTAACACTAGTAAAATGACAGGAGCCATTTTTTACACACATCCTCCTGCACATTTTTTTTAAGAGGCAATTATTAAATTGGGATTTAATTAATTATTTTTTAGATTGTCAGCACGGTACATGATGGAAACATTGCTAATAATCTGGAAAAAGATAGCTGACCCTGGCTATTGCTGTACTTCTGTAACACTGTAGTCTGCTGGTGCTGTGTTCAGCTGACCATAATAGATGATATTCTAAAAGTGTAAGCTCTGAAATATGAGGTCTGACTCTTGATGGAACAAAGTGCTGAACACTCTGTTGTGGTTCTGTCTTCAATCATTCAGCAGTAGGTATATTACCCACTTGGGTAGAGGAGAGTATATTTCTCTTACTCTCTCCTCTTCCCCCAGTACTGATTGCTCGGCACACACTTAATTTCCTAGCCTTTCAATCACAAGCTGTTTTGAATTTGTAAAGAAAATGTAATAATAGACCAGAGAAATTACTTACAGTTAGCTCCAAACTCAAACAACTGCTGGGGACTTGCATGAACTGGTAGGGTGGTTTTATTCCTGAAGGTGTATTCATCCTCCGTATTGCCATTCATTACCCCAAAGAGACCCTGTGTGTGATTCATGAACTTCTCTGGGAGCAGAACTGTCAGGGTCAGAAATCCTCCATTTCCCTGTATTTCCACTCCAGACCCAGAAGAGAACATCACTGTGATGTTCTGATCAGGTGTAGAATATAGAAAGAGACCTATAACAATGAGAGGAAGAGGACAAAATACCTAATTATCCATGGTGAACAAACTGTTGTGTTTTAGCATCACTTAAAATCATCATCAGTTATAACCATTTGTCATAAACACAAGGCCAGGTAAGCAAACTGGATGGAAAGGGCATTCTACCCCCTGCTCTCAGTTTTATTTCTTTCACCAAGGTGCATGTCAACAGTGCACTACCACTGATTCGGCCTCGATCTGGCAGCAACTGAAGAAAGTCATCTAATAATAAAATAAATTCTAATGAGTTGGGACACTGCCTGTTCTCTGTTTACTTCTAACACATTTTTTTCTGTGACCTGCAGGCTGTTTTCACAAAAGGATGCTGAAAAGAGAGTTGAAATGCATGCATCTAGAGATATTTTTAACTGTACATGGGCTCCACTGGAATACAATACCTTACAAGGCTGATATTTGTAACTAACCTTTCAGGTCCATCCAGGTTTGTTCAGAGAAGTTGAGAACCTTTTGGTTTAACAGGACCTCCAGATTCAAATCCTGTGAGTACCGTACTTCAATCACATCAGAGTTGTTCTCCTGCATGGCCACTGCAGACAAGCCTGTCCCCTGAGCTCCACTTCCTTCCAAATAAAAAAACAATCCCCTAAAATACTCAACATGATATAAAGTAAATATAGCAGGTTATAGCAATACAGGAAAAAAAACCCTCAAAGAGATATTTCCTAAAAATAATGAAATATAATTATTTATATTTGAGGGAATGGCTAAGCATATAAGTCATACAAAGCCCCACAGTATACATCTCCTTCCAATACATTGAAAGCAGAATGTTTAATGCTAAAAAAGACTGGAAATTTTAAATTCTTCATCCTAATGGCAGTGCCTATACTATATAAGAAGGCTGGTTGATCTGCTTGTACATTCAGTCCTGTGAGTAAGGTCTGGGAAAACTGAAGATAATTTCAGGGAGGGCACAACAAAAAAAAGGAAACAGAATAAACAAAAATTTAAGAAACTGATCTTCAGAAGAAACTGCTCAGTGACTCATGCTACTTTTGCCATAAACACAGTAAAATCTATCAAGGGCAAAACATTTCCTTGATAATCCCTGTCCTATCCAATGTGATATTCAGTATGAGCTGTATATCTACATGGGTGCTGAAATGCACAGGCAATTTTTAGTTCATCCATATAATTGTACCAGAAGTACCAAATCCTTGAAGAGCATCCTTAAGGCCAGGTGGGATATTCCTTACTGAGCCAAGCCTGTTATTTTATGCACCATAAAATAGCACTAGATAGAGGAAAAGCATAAACAAAAGTATCTTTTCAGCCTTATGAGAAGCATGATCCCATTATGCTCTTTCACACTCTACTTTTCCTTAACTTTAAAATGCAGTTGTATGACAGTCTCCTTCTTACAGGCTGGTTTGCAATTTGCCCTTTCCAATTGTGAAGGCCACAGGTACCTCCAGAAAGCTTCTTCTGCCCTAGGTTTCATTTTATGAACAAGCCAACAGACTGGGACCATCAGGCCTTTTGATAAAAAAATGACCCCCTTAACCAACTTCTCACCATACATTCTGTACTTTTCTGCTAGCTTCAGGTGCTCAGAAAGAATTTTTTCCCCATCCAAAGTATGTTTTCTCTGCTCATTGTGGAACATTTTTGCTGTCAACACACGCATGCATATACATCTAACACAGAAAGAAAATAAATCAGGGCATACACTTACATGCTTTCTATTCATTTTCAACCACAATATTATCAAAATGCATCAGCTGGCAGCTATGGCTATTGACTGATTTCTAGAGCTGACCTTATGTTTCCTTATAGATGAGAACGGATATGGAGAGAAAATAAGATTTTTTTTTTGAGCTCTTAAACCCAACAGAAAACCTTATACTTCCATTACTCGCACCCAATAAAACCAGTAATTAAACTTCGATTAGGAAGTTATTTTTTTCCTGAACATATTGTCTGCCTTCTGATTATCTTCAAAACGGTGACCTTTCACAAATGGCCAAAAAAGGAGAAGACTAGAGATGATAGGAGGAATTCTGTAAAGTGCAAATCAAGCAACCTCAGAAGCTTTCCTTTGTCATCACTGCTTTCCCTTGCTGACTTACCACTGGGAAGGCGTCCCTGCTGTGTCCTCCCTTGCACTCTCAGGGATGTGAGATCAGACTCTACCAACAGGTATTCTCCCAGGCCATTGAAGGTGAAGTTCAGACCATCAAATGTGAAGAAATGAGGATCCCCAAAAGCAGATGCTATTTTTGAAAGCAAAATGAGAAATAAGAACAAGCAAAAATCACAACCCATTACTCCTCTTAAGTTCATGAGAAATAAAAATAAATCTCATTGTGGTGATCCAAAGAATGGCATTTAAACAAGGGAAAAAATGCAAGGCTGATCTGATCCATAGTAAATGGGATATGAGGAACAGCCATGAGAACCTTGAACAAGGAGAAATGTAATTCCAGTTATTTTCATATTCTTTGGCCAATATTCAGAGCTGCACTTTAAAAGGCTGCTTTTTCCAAAACCTTTGATGGGGTTTCTCCAAGCAGGCAAACCACTCATTCGTGACCCCCAGTTACCTCTGCAGTTTTCTCCTTTCTTCCTGCTGCAAACTGTTGCCTCTTTGCATTTTCCTTATTTATGGGAGGCCGTGTCCTGCTGGACACCTCAGCATCCTAGCAGCATAGAAGGCAAGACATGTGGCAGCAATAGAGATATGGCAAGACTTGGGGACTTACTTAAAAGCAAGGGGCAGGAGCTACAGACACACTGTAAATGGTAAAACTTCCTTATTTCACATGAATAACATGACAGCTTTTCTAGCTACTGCCTACCTGTCTTAAACCATCTCTAACCATCTTCTTTCTGAAAAAGTGTTCAGTGATGGCAGAAAGTTATGGGCATTGACTACTAAGCTTTGGCTATTTATGTTCTAGGGGTTAATGAGATACTCAACAGCAGAAAATCTTGCAGGACAACTGAAAAACACATACAGATTTTGTTACTGATAGATCAATGGAAACCTTCCATGGAATTTTTCCACAGAACATTGTACCATTGCCACTGTCAACTAATATATGTACATATACAAGTATTCTAAAAGCCAACACTGTATCAAAAGGCGATACTCCATAACGGAATTATGAAGCCCTTACCAGCTCGAGGTGGGCGATACGTCCTGCAGTCACTAGAGGGACGCCTTTTCATATAGAACTGACAATTATCAGACCACAGGCAGCAGTAATAGAAGCTGATAACATCATAAAGCCAATGGGAAAAGCCAGGTATCCGGGGAGGCTTCAGGAAAGGTGGTGAACCCCAGTCATGGCCTCGATCGGGTGTGCTGCCTCCCGTGGAGTCGTGTGTGAGGATCTGTGTTCCCGTGGAGTCATAGCAACACTGCTGTCCTGCTGCATACTGGGGACTGATTGAGAGAAGCAGCAAGAAAGTCATCATTCAGCTCTGTGAGGTTCCTTTGTGTTTAGGGGTTGCCTATTGCCTTTTTACGGATACAGCTAAACATTTTGGTTGGCAAGCTTTATGTGATGCCCAGTTAGACTTCACCCTGCCCCTCTTGGTTCTTATAAATTAGACCAGAGTAGGGAGAGGGAGGGAAGGGTTTTTAACCAAGGCAGGAAGGAAGGACTTGGTTAAAAGGCCTTCTGTAGGTCTTATAGCTACACGAACATACCACTCTTTGAAGTTGTTCTGATAGAAATAGTGCAAAGATTAAGTTGTTGAACTTAATTAGACCAACACAGAAAAGACTTAATTAGGCCTAATCAAATCTATTCTAGCCATTAGCTCCTGTTTAGGCATCTTAAGGTTTCACATGCTGCAATTTATTGTTTATTAAATCTAAGGCCTTAACTTCATCTCAGCAACGAGGGTCAGTATATGAGTAAGAGGGAAACAATGGTTGCTATCAATCTGAGTTAAGATGCCAGAGACCTTTGTGCCTTCTGTGATGCTGCTGTCTCTGAGATGGAATAAAAAAAATGCAGTTCAAAACTTTTTCTCTACCTGGCTTGAATGGCTCTCACACAGTGCACAGCCCCAGGGTGATAAGTACACACACTCCCCTTCTCAATGTCACAGCCATAATCCGTCTGAAAAAGATCAATGTTCACACTTAATGGGGTTCTTTCCCCATTGTCCTTTCCATTTATGTATCCTCCCCTCACCCTTTGTATCTGACATATGTGTAAAATCTACATGAACTGGTTGAGGCTGTGTGTTGAATAGCATGGAATGACAGGAAAAACAGTGAATTTAATACTGAAGTGTCTGGGGCAACAGGCCTAACCTGAGCATTTTGCAGTCTATTACAACAGACGTTGAAGAACAAGTGCAGCTAGGTGGGATTCAACTATAAGCATATAACAAACACAGATCACAACAGAATAAAAGTTTGTCCTATATTCTTAGACAGAGGCAGTGCAGTGGATCTATTTTTTTTCTTCACATGCTTTTAACTGTATCATTTGGAATACATATCAAGTTTGGAGGTTCGTAAACAGAATAAGATGGTAGCAAAATCTACCTAATTTTTTTTTTAATATGTATAAACACGCTGCCACCATTTGTTATCACAAATAGGAGACAAATTTCCCCTCATCTGGTCCTCAGATCAGCACTGCAACTGAAAGTGTAGACTAAATGGCAATTGATTTCTTAGCTTTTGTCAGTTCCTTGTTACACAGTGAAGCTGAGAAAGAGGAAGGAAGCAGGAGAAAGGAAATAATGGATTACACCTCTGGACTTGAGCTCTGAAGCACAAGGTATAAGGGCTTGTAGTGAAGTATGACATACTAGGAAGAAATGTGGCCTGCTTCTTCCATCCCAGGATATCACCTATGAACACAGACTGCCATCCTGTTGGATCTTGAAGAAGACATCCCTGCTCTCAGCTCCACAGAGCTCACTGTCCTCCATGGTGTTTTCTGTCTACCACTGGAATTACTGTCTGAATTCCCTATTTGAAGGTAATTTCCATCTGCTGTCCTACAGGCACTTCTTTTATTCATACTACCTGAATAAGCTGTATTTGCCTCTGCTATTTGACATGTTACTGGTGCAAGTTTAAACGTAATTGAATTGCCTTGTAATGATGTTTAGAGAGGGAACGGGGAGGTGTGTGGAGTATGGCATTCCCTAAGATTCTACTTGGAGTTGTAATAAGCCAAAGGGATCAATCAATAACTTACATGGAACCTGCCAGTGTCAGCTCTTGCCTGTGCCAAAGTGCAAGGGCAGTCTATAATTTCTTCCTTGAAGTTTGGAAGCTTTTCTTCCTTTCTGTCCCATTCCATACATTTTGCAGTTGCCCATGCATTTGGGTCATTCCTGAAATCTTCCCCGAGGTGCCAAGCCAATGCATGCTCATTGCTCCAGAGTGATGGAATGTTGCTGGGAGGGAAAAAAAAAAAGAGCCAAAAAATAGATCTGAGAGCTGAACAAGCACTGTTTTGACAGTAACACTGTCAAACCACTAACTATAATTACGAAGTATCTTTTAATTTGCAAGGTGTTATTTCATTACAAAACCCACTGCTTTCTTTTTCCTGCAAAATGTTACGGCAAATCAAAATTTTCCAAATTCAGAAAGTGAGAGGGCGGCATGCAGCAAGTACACAATAATCAGAATACATTTTAATATTCATGATTCTGGTTTACCTGAATCCTTTTAGAGACAGGTTTTCTATTCATGCCTTTTGACACTGTAGTGCTATTTAGGACAAAACGAAGAACATCTGGATTCTCTAACAAAACATAACCCTGTGCCCCAGTAGTATCAGAGTTAATGGCAACAGACAGGGAAAAACCATTCCGAATCCATGAAATGTTCCAAAGCTACTCTGCTTTCTACTCTTGAAAAAATATCATACACAAAGTGTAATAAAAATCCCTCAAGAAGGAGAAAAGTTTACTCTTCTCTGGGTAGTGACTCCTAAATGCTAAAGAAAGTTCTGATGTATTAGCAACATGTTCGAACTCTGAAAAGGTGTCATTTATATATTCACAGACTCTACACCATCTACATCAAAAACTGCAGACGTGGAAGAATTATGAGGGATATGCAAGGTCAGAATATGTATGGAGCACTTACAGAGGTAATTCACCAAAAATCATGGGAAAATATACAATGAAATAAAAGAAAGTGGCCATAAAATTTGTAGGAATGCAAAGGCTGCATACAAAATAGAAAAAAAGTTAAATGCAGAGGAAGGCCTGAGGCTGCAGTGACAGAAGTTCCACAGTTAGGGACTCCTCTACAGGTGTGACAAAAAAATCGGCAGATCTGAGTCTGCTGAGGGTTTGGTTGGGGTGGAGTAATTTTCTTCAGGCAGCCCACAGAGTACCATGGTTCAGATTTGTGACCAAACAATGCTGATAACACCCAGTGTTCTGGTAACTGCCAAACAGCGCTTGCATGGTGTCAAGGTCCTCTGTGTTTCTCGTGGTGTCCCCCAGGAAACAGGCTAGGGCTTGTCAAGAGGCTAGGAGGGAACACAGCCACGACAGCCAACCCAAACTGAACAAAGGTATATTCCATATACCATTCCATATCATGTCTATCAATAAAACTGCAGCAGAGTTTTTCCAAAGCAGCCCTTATGGGGTGCCTGAGTGTGCATCACTCTGCTTGGCAGGTGGTTACCGATTGCCTTTGCCTTTCTCCCTCTCTGCCCATGCCCCTCTTTACTTAATAAACTGTCTTTATCTTGACCCACGAGTTTTTCCCACTTTTGCCCTTCCAATTCTCGCCCCATTTTCTCATGCGAAATGGAGCCTGAGTCCCAGTTTTAAATGCCAAAGGATATAACAACTTTACTTCAGGAAGCAATAATAAGGTACCTATGATTAATGAATGCTGTGATGCACTTGCCTCTGCCCATCAGAATAGCTGCTGGGTGTAATCCTCAAAATTCCGAAGTCCCAGGTACTGTAATTTCCTTCAGCAGGTGCAGGAGTGAAAGTAAATTTCCCTGTATTGGGAATTTCTCTGGCCAAAGTATAAAGATATTTCCATTCAGCCAACCAGTTTTCTGAGTAACTGTCACCTGTCACACAGAGGAAGAAAATGGTTTTGGACACTGGAAAAGAACAATTACCACGAGATTGAAATTAGATGTCTCCACATAAGTAAATGAAGAGGAAAAGCTGACATTACTGTCATGACTTATTTATACTTGCAGATCTCTTCTTGAGGCCTCACTGAAAGCGGTCACATGCTGCACACATAAGTCATGCAATAACTGACAATAAATGCTTGTGCACAGATAGGAAAAGTGTTGCTTTACCTGTTTCATGGTATCCCCAGACTTCTATGTTGACGTGGGTTTCTGCAAGTGCCTGATGTGTCCAGGTAAGAGTTAAGTTTCCATAAGTGTTGGGGGTACCGTAGTATTGCCATTTTGTCTCATTTATCAAAGTACATTTTTCTTCATCTGAAACCTTGCTGTGATGTACTGCATTACAGAGCAGAAACAAAGGACTAATGACATTTTTGTAGTTCTGAAAAAGTGCTACTATGTTATTTAAGATTTAGCAGTATTTCCCCTGTGTATGTTTGACACAGTACAGGATGCACAACATAAAGAGAGTAAGCTGAAGCTGAGCCCTTACTAATGTTTGAACACCACAGAGCAGTTATTTTCTAATAGAAGTAGTGACAAAAAGGTAACTGTTTTGGTCAACCTCCTTTTTAAGCAGGACTTTTTATGAGTTAATGCTGCTGCTGCTGCTACTGCATAGCAGCAGAACTCAATTGCCATAAAAGTTCATCTCTCAAAAGATGAATTAGCCTGAGGACAGCAAGAATTACTTCTCTGAGGCTTGTTAAGGAAGAAGAAAAATGATCAAAAAGCAAAGGCTTATGTAAACTTGCATCCATGAAGGAAGAATATAGGAAGAAGAGGAATGGTGTAAATTTAAGTAAGTCACCTGATAGCCAAGTTCCAGAGTAGGGGAACGTCCTCCCATCATCTACAGAAACTTCAAAAGGGATGAAACCAGTCTCATAAAGCAATGGGGAGATGCAGTGGCCTTTTCCATCCTCAGCAATATAGCCAGTGGTTTTGATTTCCTGCTTGAACCTGTAGGTGTTGAAAACATTTTTCAGTGGCACCATTGAGAGAAGGAAAATTCTGAATGTCTCAGTTGTGTTTCATCAAGCAACGTTGTGTCATGAGCAGATCATTTGAAGTCCCATCTGTTCAAGTTGTGCTCGTAGCAGTGAATATAAACCAAAAAAAATTGTTTGTGCTTATTTCACCAGTGTGGAACCTGCTGTGCACTGCACAAATACACAGCAGTCTACAAGCCTTCAACTTACTATTTAATTACGGGGGGAGGGAGAAATTATAAATTAGCAGAATAATGATTGTATCACACAATAACTTGACTTAAAAGAAATGATCCTGTGTAGAAATACAGTCAACAGGTACCCTTGAGGGTGAGGTTCAGCAGAACTTTTGTGTGTTTCAAGACTCTAACAACTTTACAAAGTTTTCACTCCTGTACAGACTAGTCTTGTTTCGTGGTAATTACCTATAGTTGGACAGTGAGATTATATAAAATCATGGCCCACCTGCATGTTAGCACAGAAGAGGTATTAAAAGCTGTATTTTCAATCAAAAAGTCTTTGCCTCCCATCAGAGATCCTGAGTATGGAGAAATCTGAAGACAAAATTCTTTATAATCAGGGCAGCAGTTCCCCAAGGACTGGCATGTCACCTCGCAAGAACAGGTACTAAGCAGCTCCCCACACTGGTGTGAGCAAGAGTCTTGAGCTCCTTGTTAAAGGAAATAAAAAACATATAGACAGGAATGTTATTGAACTTTTCTAGATGTTCTCTAAAACAAAAGTATATAATCTAAAGGACTATTGGAAATCAATAAAGTACGCTGGTTATGCTATTTTAGGAATGTATTTAGGTTAGGGCTATAATCACCTGCATGTTAGGGCTGCTTCATTTTGAATAGGAAAATACACTTATTTACCTCTAAGCCACTACATAATTTCATCACTTCCATGGGTAATTTTACATACAAGAGACAGATAAATCTCCAGAGCAGCCCTTCAGCAAGTGTCACTAATTATATTTATTTCTGAGAGTTAAGTCTTAAACATATCAGAATGGGGTTCCCTCACCATCAACCCTAGAAGGGAATCAATAAGAACAGAAGGTTAAAGCTCTTGGAAAGTTAACATCAGCAACAAGATGTGCTCCAGTATGAGATTATTAAAAGCTACTGAAATTTCTTTCTTGTTGTAAAATTTGGAACCAATGATGAAAAAGTTATTAGGGGAGGGTTGCTTATTTGGGAGGACACAAATAAAAAGAAAGGCAGGGTTCAAGGTGGGTGGCGAAGAACAAGTATGGGGAAATGGGAAGAAGGGAGGTAGAAGTGCTTGTTCAATAAAGGGAGCTAGAAAGTTTTTCTGTCTTTAAATATATTTACTGCATTCTCCAGATTGTCTGTTTACTTACAGAGAAGATCCACCGACCTGCTGGAAATTACAGAAGAAGGAAATGAAAATGACACCATGCTGGTAAACGCTGACTTGTGTGCCTTTGCTTTACCTTGTACAAATGGTATCAGCAATTTCTTACTGAGTTGTGTATTCTGAAGTTCAGAAGTTAAAAAAGTTTGTAGATAAAAGCAGCAGAATTTTTGAAAATCACTCACCTGCATTCCGAAGAGCAGTAAGGGTGAAGAGAATGAAGAAAGAAACAATTATGCCAATGAATTTCATATTTTGTCCAGATGATTCAGGATGGCCGATTTCAGTAGTCTTTGTGCCAGTCTGAGAAAAGCCTTTTATAGAAAGAGGTGTCCAGAAATAAACAAGATTCTCACTGTTCAAAGGTTTGTTGTAAACTACCGAAGCAAGACAAATGGAATGAAATGTTCCTTTTCAGAGGTCATGTCCAATTCAGGAGAAGATAGAGGGGGTAGGGGAGGCAGTCGAACTCCTACACGTTATTTTAATAGTGAAGTTTTTCTGAAATGGAAGTAGATGTTTATCGTTTTTAAAAACATTCCTGCTTCAAAGTTCAAGACCACAGAGTCATTGGCACTAGGTCTATGCTTTAATTTTACTGGAGGAATTAAAACCAGTTATCAGTTAGAAGAACGATAAAGAATAGGTGCTGACAGTACAGTTTTGCTCAGGAGATAATGAGGCATTGAAAAAGTGTGATTACTGCATGGTATGTGCCAGCATGAGGGTTGTAAACGAGAGAGGTAAAAAGATATTCTGAGGAAGGTATAATTGAGAATGGTGGCTTAATATTAGAGCTATGAAATGGGCTACAGAATCTCTCAGACAGAAGCACGAGGATATTCTGGAAAGGAAGTAGGACAGCACCGATGCACTAACAGCCAGTATCAGAACAGGGCCATTACCATGGAGGGGTTTTGGGGGATACTGAAAGAAAGCAAAGCATGTCCCATTGATCTGATATGTAAAATATCAGTACATAAGATAAGAACCTCCTTGGCCTTGATTATACCAAGGGCAGAGTAGAGTCTGGAATGATGACAGGGAGTTTGGGGAAGCAAGGCTATTCAGAACCAGATAACCATATCAGCAGTATTATGTCAGGCTGTGATAATTCTGGTACATATGTAGCAAAATGGGGACCAGGGGTCAAAAATAATTAAAGGCACATTGTTTAGTTGAAAGGCATTCAGGTAAAGAAAAGAAAGTGCAATGGCAGCAGAAGGGACTTCAGGAGGTTTCCCTCATTCCCTGAGGTCCCAAATATTCCAAGTGTCCCAGATGTCCCTGATGTCCCAAATCTCCCAGATAACCCTGATGTCTCTGATGTCCCTGATATCCCAAATGTTCCCAATGTCTCTGGAGAGAAATGAAGTTTAACCCAGTAACGTTTTGGGGTTTTAACAGCAAATTCATGCACATTCTTGTTCATAACAATAATGTTATTGCTTTTCACAAGCCACTTTTCTACATCACTTCGAGGCCACTGATCTCTTTCTATCTATGGTGGTGTCCAGAGGCTGGAGTTCCAGAGCAGGAGTCACTGGGGGGCATTGGTGGGGGACTGAGCAGAACTAGGCAGGAACCAAGGGGTCTGGGTGGCACCAGGAATTAGTGGGATGCACTAGGGGTTGACTGGGAAGAGCTAGCTGTCACTGGGAGGTGACTGGGAGGCACTGGGATCTCCCCTAGATGCATTGTGGACAGCTCGGGGGGGGCCACAGGGGGGTCCTGGTACCCGGGGAGGGTCCCCCTGCCACTGTGCCCCCAGCCAGGCTGTGGGATGCACCCAAGTACCCCCGTCCCACACGTGCTGGTTGGATCCTGGAGGGTCTTGCGGGGGGCTATGGGGCTCTTGGTGGCTTGTGACGAGTTCTGAGGGGCCCTGAGGGGTCCTGAGGGCATAGCCCCAAGTCAGCACCCCTAGCAGAGCGGCTCTGATGCAAATGCACAGAGACAAACACACCGAAAAGAAAGCAGAGGCAGCCCTTAAAAAACCTGGTACACCTCGACACCTATTCTGGGTGATCCAAACCCTGACCTTAGATGAGCTGTGCTGAGGCCCCTCCTGACTTCACCTGCTACAGCCACCCCCAAAGGTGAGACTCCCAACCCCCCAAGGATTCCAAACACCCCAGCACCCCAAACCAGCCACAAACACTAACATCCCACAAACCCATTTTAGAACCCCCAAGCTATTCCCAGCACCCCTTAAAATAGTTCAACACCCCCAAAACCAATCTGAGAACCACTAAAATTATCCCAGCAACCCCAAGCCCACCCAAACCCCTCCAAGTACCCCACAAAACCTCCTTGGGCCCCTAAATCCCTCCCAGCAACCCTGAAAGAATAGGACATCAGTTTGCAGCTGTGCCAATCCAGTTAATGCCAAGGGAAAATCCAAGACTCCTCCATCAGGAGCATTTTTACTGGACGTATGTAAACAGAGGCACAGCTTTTCACTACGAAGTGAGTTACTAAAATTTGGGGTTGTTTTTTTCAGTTTACTCTGTAAATTTTCACTCCTGACTTTCAGCCCCACTGGCCGAGCAGGAGGAGCAGCAGCGGCGGGAGGGCCGGAGCTGCTGGATGGGTCTGGGAGTCCAGACTCCCATCCCGGTCCAGCCGTGCCCTGCAGCCTGTCGGGGGGATGTCCCTGCAGCATAGCCCTGGGGAAGGGATGAGACATCTCCTGGCGCTGCTGGAGCGCAGGAACGGAGCGGAGCCTGAGCGGGAGGCGAGGCACCGCCCTCGGACACGCTGCCCCTGTGCCGCGGGGACAGGAGCTGGGGAGGGGACTTCAACCCTTTGGGGGACTGCCCTGCCTTTATTTTTTTAGTAGAGCCCTCTTTTTTGGGAGGGGGGTACGTTTGCGAACGAAATTATTATAGCAATGCGCTGCTGCCCAGGGCAGTTTGCCTCGTTCTGTGCCTTCTCTGGGGGGGTAACAGGGAGGGGGCTGGAGCCTGGCGGGTGATGATGTCATTGGGGACACCCCGATGTCACTGGGAGAGCCATGATGCGGCGCAGGAGCAGATGAGCTCCTGGGGGATGAATGGGGTCATGTGGGGTCCTCCTGATGCCTATGAATTTTCTCGATTTTAATTAGCTTTTTGCAGATTTTAGAAGTAGCTGTAGTTAGCTCACCCTTTAGCACAGTAGTTCACACATTTACCCACTCCTATTACCCCATTTCATATCTAACTTTCTAAATTCCTTACCTTGTTTAGGTAGGCCTTCTTTCTGTTTAGGAACGTTTGCACCCAGTGCTCAACAACAAGATACACCAACAGACAAAGCATCCCTCAAAACCCAGAACTGCGGAGGAGCTCCAAGGACTGGACGTGTTGTGATGAAGATCAAGATGAAGAAGAAGGAGTCTTAGAGACCCCAACTCAATTTCCAAAGGGGCGTGCCGGGGGCAGAACCAGAGGCAGAACTGGGAGGATCTGGGGGGCGGATAGATCTGGGATGGGATGGACAAATACCTTAAACTGTGGAACGCCCTGGACACGTGCATATATCTGTATCTCCGGGGTGGCTGAAGGGCTTTTACTAAACATGCTCTCTACCTTATCTCTACTAATAATTGCCTGCTAAGTCTATTTTTGGCTCCCGGCCGATCCTTTAAGGCAAGACTCCCAAAAAAGGAACGTTACAGCCCAAAATTTTTCATGGAAGGGCGTGCAAAACAATATTAAAACCTGCGAAGTTTCTCATCTTTGTATATATTGAAAACTAATATTAACTCACATATAACTTTATTTCAAAATGCTACCCTGTATGTGCTATATCATACACAGGACATCAGAGTTTAAGGAATTCCCACCGCGGCCGAAGGCGCGCAGCGACACCCGCGGGCCGGGAGCGGCACTGCGCGGGGGAAATGGCGCATGCGCACCGACGTTACTGGCGCCCAGCGTCACGTGATAAGTGTGGGCGTCCTGGCAACCAAGCGGCACGTGCGCAGTGGCTCCACTGACTCTCCTGTGCCTCCTGCTGGTGGAAAGGCGGTACCACAAGGAAGAGCCCCGCGCATGCGCAGTGACTGGGCGCGGCGGAGCAGGGACTGGCTGGCGGCCCCGGCCGGTCCCGGGGAGGCCCCGCGAGGGCGGCGGTGCCTGCGGGGAGGGCGGCCGGGCCGGCGGACACGCGGCGGGGGCTGTCCCGGAGCGGAGCGGGGCGGAGGGGACTGTTCCCGGCGTGGGCACAGAGCGGGGAAGGAGAGGTCGGGCCGGCGTCCGCCATGCCGGTGCCCGGGGCACGCTGGGAGTTGTGGTCTCCCGTCCCTCGGCTGCCGGACGGCTTCTGCGCGGGATAAAAATGAAAGTTTTGTGGTGAAATCTGACTCAGTCTGCGAGGTAGACAACGGACGTATCGAGGTAAACTGATGGAATCAGTAGTGGACAGGTAGGGATAATTTGTGAGGCTGAATGCGAGGTAATAAAAAGATAAATACAAAAAGCGCTGGTGGGTGCTCGGCTTGGGAAGAACATCCTTTTGCAGAAGGGAGAGGATGTGGAATGGAGTTGCCGAGCTTGGGCGGGTGAGAAAAGAAAACCGAAGAGCTGTTGGAGTCGAAGGGCACGTGCCGGTACCTGAGGGACTCCAGGAGCGCTTGGACGGGGCAGGGCGTGCGAACCCCCCAAACCCACCCCCAGAACAACCCTGAGCGCGTCGCTCCCTGGGGCGGATGGTTTGTTTAGTGCCCCATTTCTGCTTGTAAAACCAGCATTTTCAAATGATTTCTGGTGAAAGGTTTATCTTTTTACATTTACAGGTGCTTTTAATTCGTTTTATATGTGTGTCCCTCTTTATCTCAGAGCTCTTTAAACCATGCAGTTTTCTCTGTCAGTGCAAAGATGAAGTGCCAGGACCATAGCGGAGTTCCAAGGACAGGGGCACCCACACTGTGAAGGGCGTGTCTCAATACTGATGAATAAGCTTGCCTGATCTGTATTTTTTCCCCTTCAGTAATGGGAGAGTTTTGCTAGGAACACTGTATAAAAATATAAAATAAAATTACTTTTTAAATGAAAATCCTTTTTGCTTTCTGTGTGGTACTGTTTCCCTGTGTTCAGCTCCGGAGCTGACTGAGTCTGCATCGGTTCTTTGGAGACCTGGGTTCGAATCCCACCCCCGACCGCCCTGCTCTGCCCTGCAGGCGCCGCCTTGTGGACACGGCCGGTAGCGGCACTAAAGCCGTGCCCCCCAACTCACCCAGTGGCCGAGTGCTTATTTACTTTACTTTTATTTTTTTCCTTTCTATTTTATGGTCTATTTTATTCTTTTTAATTTATTTTTTCATTTTATTTCTTAGTTTTATTTTTTACCTTATTTTTTCTTTTCTTTCCTCTTTTCTTTTCTATTTCTTTAACATTTTTATTTTCGTTTTTATTTTATTTTTAAATTTATTTTTTTATTTTAGCTTTATTGTCTTTTT